AGAACATTGCTGGACCTTACACAGTTGAAACACACTACTACAGTCATTAATATGAAATTAATAGCATAGATTAGACTCTAGATGAGATCAGTTAATCAGATCACTAAATGATGATAATATCTTTATTATCAGCAAGTAGCCAACATTGTCTGATCACATTTTCTCTTGCTGTTTTTGTCATAACAAACACAGTTACAGCAGCTAAGAACATCAAAAAGTCAAGAGTCAAATTGCCCAACTAAAGCAAACACTTCTCACCATAATGGTGACATCAAACCAAACTATTACTTTCAAACAGACATCAACACACCTCTGTTAATCTCAATAAGAACATTTGTAAATGTATGACAGAAATAAAGTGAATCTGGTTTATAAGTGAAGCTGGTAATGCTGTTTTTGGAGTTATTTACGCTGGAGCTTGACATCAAACAAAGGTTGGGTTTTCACTTTCAACCAAAATTTGACCTCTGAGCAATGTAAGTCCACATCTAGTGTGATGGGAAGCTTTATTAGAATGCTAGACGATAATGTTCTAACAATGTTATCAACAAACATTTTTAGAATGTTTTTAGAGAATGTTATCTTACCTTTTAGCAAAACATTCTGGGAACTAAAATAAAACTTGCCGCTGAAAACATTCCCAGAACATGAAAAATTTCTAGATGTGTGACGTGACATGTGGCCAAGTATGGTGACCCATACTCGGAATTAGTGCTCTGCATTTATTCCATCCAAAGTGCGCACACACACAGTAGTGAACACACACACACCAGCAGGAGCAGTGGGCAGCCATTTTTGCTGCGGCGCCCGGGGAGCAGTTGGGCGTTCGGTGCCTTGCTGAAGGGCACCTCAGTCGTGGTATTGAAGGTGGGAGAGAGCGCTGTACATTCACTCCCCCCACCTACAATCCTGAGGGGGTTACGAGTCCAACTCTCTAACCATTAGGCCACGACTTCCCCATATCGATGGGATACTCGCAATCACACGATTGAAAAACTGGTTGAATGGACTGGTTGAAATATGCTTTTTCTTAACAACAAATAATTTGGAAAAACTGACAAGAAAAATAAAGCAATAGAAGTCCACTGCAATTAAACCAGGCTTCCCTATGTAGTCATTGTGATGGAAGTAAAAAGGAATGTCCAACACAGTTTATTTGGAAGAAGAAATTGAGGTCAGCATTCATCTAAAGGAAATTAAAGTTAACAGGAAGCGACCCCTATGGAAATGAACGACTCACAATCTTGATTATTTGAATGAACATCAAGATCTATTATCATTTAGAGAAAATTATTCAGGGACTGTTGGCCTCTGACATGTTGTAATTGCAAATGACATGAAACGCTTTTGATAAAAGAAGAAAGAGTCGCCTTTCTGACAGAAAAACTCTACGTAGTGTGCTTCATATACTTAAGTAACAAGAGGTCAATTTTGAGGCAATAAGAAGTAACTTTTTAGAAAAGAGAAAGAGGCAGAAGATGAGAGTTCAACTTTATCATATGATGAGTTTTTTTTTTTTTTTTATGTTTTCGCTTGGATTGTTGTTGTGTGTGAATTCTTATCAGACTAGGGTGAAAAATTCTCGTAGACTTACACTGAAGGAGGATCTTAAGCCATATTTAAGAACTTGGGCTCTTTTGACTTGGGACAGTAACTAACCACCCAGCATATATTAGAAACAACATACCAACACCCTATCATAAGAAATTTCGTAAGTGATAGGAATGTTAGAAAATAAAATTAAAGTATCAGCAACTTTTGCTAATATATAAAAACCAAAGAGATGTTTAACAGTGTGCATGTTTTTAAAATGTATTATTTGTATTTTGTTGTTGGAATATTTTATGTAATACATATTACAAACCAACCACCCAAACAAAATAATACTAAACCCCTCTTCTCCCCATTCTTGTTTTGCCATTTGAACAAAAGATTACTTGTTAATTACATAATTACGTTATTTATTCTGTTACTCTATATAAATCATATGCAAAGCAACCTGAGATTTTTAATGAAATCAATGACCACTTTCAAGATATGTAAAAGATTCACAGCACAACAAATTTTTATATGCGAACAAAAGTTCAATACACAACAAAATTAAGCTATGACACCACACAAATGCTCCCGATCAGTATGCGGTGTAGAATTCTTCCATTTTGACACTGCCCTCTTGTGGTTGGGAGCATCTATGTTGCGTGTTAGCTCATTTGTTTTCAACTTTTATTTCCTTTGTAAATGTTGTTGCCTTGTGCTACCACAATGGATGGCTTTGTCATATGCATCTTTTGAAGAAGAAAAAAATGTTTTAGTTTAACTTATTCGTACCAATCACACATTCTTTTTTGCAGTGATGCAAAAGAAAAAACATTTTGGGTTCCCCAAAGAACAGTCCATTTTTTCTTAGTCTGAAGGACATTTTAATGATCTATTCTAAAGAACCTTTTGCGTGATGGAAAGTTTCCATGGATGTTAAAGGTTCTTCATGGAAACATCAATGCTAATAAAGAACCTTTATTTTTAAGAGTGTATTTCTATCAAAACATGATGCTTTCAGTTTCCACTGAAAACACACTTTCCTCTTTTCCACTTTATTTCCCTTCTATATTATCTGATATAAAAGCTTTTGTGAATTGCTAGTTGCTATTGTGTAGTGGGGGAAAAGTAACAGCAAATAGTAGTCTGCAGTGCACATGTGATATGAATTTAATCAGCCATGGTCAAGAAATATGAATGTGTAATATTATTTCTGTGAGGGCTCGCTCATAGGTGGAGTGCTGCTGAATTCAGTCTTTGCTGTGAACGATAGCAGGGCAAGGTGGTAGTGTGTGTGTGTGTGAGGAACAGAATAGGGGTCTGGCTGGCAAGGTTAAATTTAGCGGCTGATTAGACTGTATGAATTTTAATCTGCCTCTGACAAAGGTTCAACAGCACCCCTCCGCTCACCAAATCTCATTCTTCCTGATCCTGTCTTTTCCCCCCGCTCTCTACCTCTCCATCTGTCTCTCTCGCTCCCCTCCACTAACCAGGCTCTTCTTTCTCCTGGTCTCTCTCTGTATCTGTCTGTACATATGTGCCTGGGGTTATAATGATAAGAGGGGATAGAGCTGATTTGAATGTGACTCAGGTGGGGGCCTCGACTCTCTCCATCTCTCTCTTCCTTGATGAGATTGTAATGGATGAGGATGATTGTGAATGCATATTCATCGACCGTAGATGGCGGCTCAGAAGCGTGACCCAGAGGTTGCGATGAGTTTATTTTCCTCCTCGGTTAACAGGTGGGCTTCTCTGGAAACTCATGTTGAATCACTGCACACCTCCACAAGATTTAAGTTGTCACCTAAAAGATTTAAACTGTCACAAATCGTTTCACTGGCAGCGAGAAGGACATCCGTGGGTTTTGGGTATCCTCCTCTGCACCATGTTACATCATGGAGGATAAATACTAATGAATTAAATCAGAGAATACTGTGGAAATCAAAGGTGAAGTGTTTAATTTGTGTGTTACTAGCAGCAGTGATGTAGCGCTTGCTACATGATGTGGGCATACTGGAATCCAACCGCATACATTTTACAGAATGTTATTATAATTTAATATAACAATATTATATATATATATATATATATACAGTGTTGGGGGTAACACATTACATGTAACGCGAGTTACGTAATCATACTTTTACGCATTACTTTTTAATTTACAAGAGAATATCTGAGTTACTTTTTCAAATAAGTAACGCAACTAACTTTTTTTCCCAATTTATTGATTGACAGCTCTCCTGTCCCCATGTTTGAGAGAAATCAGAAGATGTTACTGTAATTCTAAAATAAATATATGCATTAATTCATCTCTCACAAAAAAAAAAAACTGATTCAGTATTCCTCAAAATGAATAAAAATAATGCAACTCAGAAAATGACACAAACCTGCAATAATTAAATGTTAAACACAAATATACTTTATGTATTTAATCCCATTCTATTAACCAATGTATTTGCTTCTGACCAGTTCAAACATACTAAGCAAAAATTACTCTAGACAAAGATTTGTCTTTTTTTTTTTATTGCTGAAGTGTGTTGAAATTTCTTCTTCATTCTACTGTAGGGACGTACATTTACTTTCCCTTCAGCCTGAGGCTTATTCATTTCACTTTTGGTGTGAAAAGGCTTTTATATTTGCCAAAAATATAACTTTTTTATTTACAAACCAAACAAGCAAGCCCTGTCCAGATTTAAAAAGTAACGTAACGCATTACTTTCCATAAAAAGTACGTAATTAGTTATTTTATGGAGTAACGCAATATTGTAATGTATTACTTTTAAAAGTAACTTTCCCCAACACTGTGTGTGTGTGTGTGTGTGTGTGTATATATATATATATATATATAAAATTCAGTAATATGAATAATTTAATATATATATATAATTCAGTAATCACAGCTATTTCTTACAAAGTTCAAATATACTCATAACTGTTCAAAGTAAATTAGTAATATAAAGTTTAATTTTAAGTAAAAAAATGTTACATTACAATAAAATGTAAGCACACATCAATTACATATTTTGTTTTACTTGTATTTTATGTATTTTTATTTGCAGTCAGTATTTTCAAGTATGTAAAATATGCATGAATTATTGAAGAATATTTTTATTTATGATTATTGGTTATGTATAATTTAATTGTGTATGCTGACATCATTAATGTACCACACAGTTATAATATATTATTATTACTCAGAGTTATAAAAATGTTATATAATTGTCACAAGTACAGAAGGAGATAACATCAACAACAAAGTCTTTATTCACAGGTATTTCAGAGAAGCAGTGTGGTAAACAAGTGAGTATATAATTCAATGACGATAGATAGCACTTAGCTTGAGCATAAACAGTTTTTTGTTGTAGGTGCTGGCGGGTGTGCGGTGAAGGCTAAGTGAAGACTGACTGAAGACAGGTAAGTACCCAAGGAGCCATGTAAGTCCTCACACTTGGAGAGAAAGACTAGACAAGGAAGAAGTGGAAAGTAGCTGCTCTTATACAGAGATTGATGAGATCATCTATGGCAGGTGTGGTGATGACTGACTGTGTGCAGGTGTTGACCAGAAGGGATGCTGGGAAATGTAGTTCCCAGTGGACTGGGCTGGTGACTGAGGGTAGTGAATGGACTGGTGACTGGGGATTGTGACAAAAATATTTTGATGAACAGGTTTTTATAATCTTGTATTATTTAATATTGGTTGGGAAAACTGTTGTACGTTTTCTGAGAATTGGTCTACATCAGGGGTGCCCAACCCTGTTCCTGGAGATCTACCTTCCTGCAGAGTTTAGCTCCAACCCTGATCAAACACACCTGAACCAACTAATTAGGATCTGAAGGAGCACTTGATAATTACAGACAGGTGTGTTTGATAAGGGTTGGAATGGAACTCTGCAGGAAGGCAGATCTCCAGGACCAGGGTTAGGCACCCCGGTCTACATAGTACTTCTTCTTCTTCTTCTTTTTTCATCCACACCTCATAGTCAAAATCCTTAGGAAAAATAGAAGGACATACACCATTTACATGTGTAAGACCTCCGCTGAACTACTGATTAGCGGCGTGAAGCGGAATTCCAAAAATAATGATTATTTCCAAGCAGCTTTCTCAAACACTCGCTCCAGCAGTAGATGTGTGATTTTTGGATAAATGTATCTGTCTGCTCCCTCTGGCTGACTGGCCGCTGAATATGACCATCAGAGATTATGCCTGCAGACAGCCACTAATTGAGGCCAGTCTATCTATTCACTCCATTTCATGGGTCAGACACCCAGGATGAAATTGTGTGAGGAGACAGACATCCTGAGAGAATGGACTGAATATTTAACCATGTCCAGCCATTCATCCACATGAGGGTTCTCTCACTGAACTGATGATATAAAGAATATATGTGACAATGCTGAAAACTGTCTTTCACAGTTCATATAATGTATGCATGATTTGAGAATGATCCAAAGAGCATCTCAAGCTTCAACAGGAACATCTGAATGTCTGTAGACATTCCCTTGTGAAAATAGTCAAATTTAGCAAAACAAAAAAAAGAGCTACTTACAGAAATAAAGAATATCCTTAAGTGCAAACTAAATGTAATGATATTTATAATTAACTGAACATTTATTATAGTTCAAATTTGTATTAAATACAATGAAGTTAAGAGTGCATTTTAACCCCCTAAGTATGACTTAAAGGGGTCATATGATGTTGCTAAAAAGAACAGTATTTTGTGTATTTGGTGTAATGAAATGTGTTTAAGGTTAAAAAAACACATTATTTTCCACATACTGTACATTATTGTTTCTCCTCTATGCCCCGCCTTTCTGAAACGCGTCATTTTTACAAAGCTCATCGGTCTGAAAAAGCGAGGTGTGCTGTGATTGGCCAGCTATCCAGTGCGTTGTGATTAGGGATGCAACGATTATAGATTTTGTTGGTACGATTATTGTCTCAGGAATAATCATGGTTTTACGATTATGATGATTATTATGCATTTATTCATTTCCCAACATTACTAATGTATAAAATCACATGAACACACTCTTTAGATATGAAAGTGTTATTTATTGCTGGCTTTTGAAACAGAAATAACACAGTAACCAACAATACAGCACAAAATAATAATAAACAAAAGACAAACAAAAGTCCATCTTTCCCACTGGAATTAAAAAAGGTGACCTCTGCTCTGTAAACATCCATGACAGTATTTCTCTTTTGAAAATAACAAATGGAAATAGATCACAAAAGTATTTAATGTTTTCAGTTTCTACATTCTTTACATTTCTTTTCGACCTTGGGTAGAGAATTTGGAAACATGGTGAAAAAAAAAATCTTGTTGGTTTTTACTTATGAATAATACTACAACAGGGATAGTAAATAACAAAGTTAATGAAGTAGCCTATTATTAATATACGACTAATATTAACTTTATTTGTCCCACAGGGGAAACTGTTACTAATGATGGAAATAAACTGAAATATTATTGTAATCTGTCATCCATACGTATTAATTTTAATAATCTTTATAATAATTCATATGACTACATGTGGCCTGAGAAAATCATGTCTATTATCCTGTGATATTCATTAACTATATGAATTGATATAACTATATGAATATATACATTTTCTGCCCCCTTATCTTGAATTATGTGATCATTCTTAATGCATATTAATAAACTGAATCATGACCCTGAATATAAGACGACCGCGTTTTTTCAGATGTATTTCCAAGAAAAAAATATTGTGTTATATTCGGGACAATACGGTACTACAACAGGGATAGTAAATAACAAAGTTAATGAAGTAGCCTATTATTTATATACGATTAATATTAACTTTATTTTGTCCCACAGGGGAAACTGTTACTAATGATGGAAATAAACTGAAATATTATTGTAATCAACTGTCATCCATTCGTATTCATTTTAATAATCTTTATAATAATTCATATGATTTTACATGTGGCCTGAGAAAATCATGTCTACAGTGAGCAGAGGCCGGGGGCTAGAGTGAACGGAGGCCGGGGGCTAGCGTGAGGAACGGCGGGAGGGTTAGAGTAAGCAGAGGCGCGGGCTTGAGAACACTCCAAAGAGAAAGGAAAAATTGAAATCGCATCATATGACCCCTTTAAGTACATCTTAATATCATGTAATTTCATAATTACTTGTATTGTCTTTGAAGTAGAATGAACTAATGAGCATTTATGGTGAACAAAATTATACTTTAATGTAATTACTATTTCAACTTGTATGTCATTTATTTATTTGTAATTACACATTTGTAATGATGAAGTTTAGTACTTTAAAAAAAAAAATATATATATATATATATATTTGGATGATTTGGTTGTGTTTCCGGGCAGTGCGTTTACGGCAGGAAGAGAAACGGCAGCTGGAGGAGAGCAGTAAGGTGAAAGAGCGGAAGAGGAAGAGGGAGAAGTATGCAGAAAGGGTAAGTTCCCTCGTAGAGGTATAAAGTGATGAAGAATCTACTTCCTGTGCAGTGGTGTTCAACAATAGTAATATATATTTTTCAAAAAACAAAAATAAATATATATATATATATATATATATATATCAATAAATGAATATAAACTTTAAATTAGCTTTAAATAATAAAGTAGAATTAGTCATGAAAGTAAACTTTCTTTAAGTGCACTTAAGTGGCCTTTTATGTCATTATTATTATTATTATTATCTGCAAGTACAGTTTTTAAAATATACTTTTAAGATTTGAGTGCAATTGAGTACACTTCTTTTTCACAAAGGACGAGTCACATGATTAATGCCACAAATGTATTTTAAATTTAATAAATGTTTTTCAGGCTTAAATACATAAATAATATTTTCACTAAGGTATAGATCTTCAACCAGTAGTATCTTTCATGCATCTAGCACAACACAGCAAATATGGTATTTTTAAAATTGCATTTATTTGTTTGTTTGTCAATAGTAATAGAAGAGTAAGGATAAAAGAGGACCAAGAAACTATTTCAAATAAATAATCTTATTATTGTTATTATTTTTCTTCTTTTTTGCATAATCTGAGCTAAAGATACTGTTGTTACATTTTTTGCTGATTTGTAATATGTTTTGGAGATTGTAGTCTTCCCACATTCAAGCTAATAGGAGCTGTAGTTGTATGCTTATTGCCTCCACAGAAAGTTGTTCTCTTCCCAATATGGCAACCAAGTGAACAGACTCGGCTTAAGTGGACTTTCAATATGCTGTACAGTGGAAACACTGGCACTTCATAAATACACACACACAAACTGAGACATGTCCGTGCAAGTGACTAAGCATGTTCTGGCCTTTACTTGAATCCACTCTGAACCATCTCTTTATTTTCATCTCCTGAAAATGGCAGGCTGTTTGATTGTAAGAGGCAGGAAGTGCAGGGTATCACAACTATTGATACGAGGTCTAGTCCAGGGGAGAGCTGCTGAGCAGAGAATAAATGAAAGAAAGAGCGAGACAGACAGGAAGTGAGAGCAAAATGATTGTGACTAAAGGAGTGCTGCTGTTTAGTGGTAATTGGATTTGTAATACTCAGAGGAGAAATTGCTCAGCATTGGACATCAATGTTTATTCACGGAAAGAGGTTTCATATCCTGCCGAGACGCAGTTGACCACTCAGGTGTGAAGGATTGAGAAGTGAAGAGAGTTACTGTGTGTCTCTGTGTGTGTGTGTCCTTTTGTTTCTGAAATCTCCTTTGAGCATTCATCCGGATTTGACTTCAGCCACGCGTATCGCCAGTTTGATGTAACGATAATTGATCCCATTAAGTACTGATGAATGTAACCATCCAAATGACGATGCAGTGATTTAATCCACATGTTGCTCTGTAAGAAAATATATTTTCATGTTTTGTTTTTACCAACAATGCTGTAGATTATCTTTATGTTTAGTGTTTTAGGAACTAACATGCAGAACATATTTTAATGATTATTTTATTTTTGCTTTTTGATACAATATGTTAACTTATCATTAGATTACAATAATAATAATAATAATAATAATAATACAATATGATATTCAGTATATTTTATTGTAGTAGTCCCAACAACAACAACAATAATATTCAGAATTATCATCCTCATCATAATTATTATGTTTCATTGTAGTAGTCCAATGATTATTTACTTATGATATCAAACAGCAAAAATAAAACAATAATTAAAAATAGGTTCTGCATATTGGTTATTGATGTTATTAGAATCATCATCATCATCAGTATTATATTTTGTTGTAGTAGCCCAATGCAGCAACAAGGTCATCATGAATATTATGTTTTATTTTTGTCAAGTGATTATTTACTTACTGTTTCAAAAAGCAGAAATAAAACAATAATAAAAAATTAGGTTCTGCCAAATTTCCTTTTGTAAATAAATAAATATAAATATAAATATATATATATTTAATAGAACTTAATTATTAACCTACACATTTGTCACTTGACAATAAATGACTGCTATTTAACAAGTTAAACGATTCTGTAAACAATATATTAAATAATGTACTTGTGCGTTTGCTAATTGTGTGTTGTTGCGACTTCTTTGCATTTTCTTGTATACACACTTGGGATCTGCTGAACTGCTCAATAAATGTTCTTTTCAC